CTAACAATGAGATCCCTGACCCTGAAAAACTCCGGCGCTCCGCACGCCTTGAACTCCCGGAATGAGGGAGTTTGGGCCCCAACTGGCCTGTAGCAATCTCGGCCTTGAATGTCCTGAGCCTCTACTCCATGATCTCCATCATACATTCCTTGACTATCCTAAAAATGACTGGGGTGGCATCAAGGATACCTCGAGTAAACTCGACTGCAATAAGCTCACGCAGCCTCTCATCGATGACATCAGTAGTGTCGCCTGATCCATCCCCGGATCCAGATCCCGATCCTGATCCCCTGCTCCAAATCGTGTCACCACCATGCTGAACTAAAATGTCATAAACCATAATGATCAGGATACTCATAAAGAGTATCTTCCCACACTAGTACTCCTTGGAATTGTCAGATCTAACATTGTGCCTTCAGTAGTACTGACCCAATACTACCTTCCACACCTACTTGTTCCCTCCCTGATGCTTTACCCGACAACTTCAATTCATCCCAACATAGATCACATTCCACAGACTACCACACCTCTTAAATCCTAGGTTGTCCTAAGATTTTCTCTACTCATACCAATCATATCTGGTTGCCTTTATGCACGCAAATTATACACAGAAAGGATCAAATAGACTTTCGAATAAAAGATTCTACCCTAGGACAACAACCAGACAAGGAACAGGATATAAGGCCAAATCAATCATTATGAGGCTATAAGATCCTAACCGTATACACTTTTAAAAGCATACACATAGCAAGTTTCATATAATTATCAAAGCTCAAACATCAGTATAACATAACTATCACCTTGGGGAACTACTTACTTGGCTCGACTGATCACGCACATTACACTCTCATCTTTTCCTTTCTTTAAATCCTTTTCATTTTATTTTTGAAAACAATTTTACCATTCCCTTAGTTTGAGTCCTGACACACCCAAGAGTGTGCCCGAATCCCTCAAACCATTCCCTTAGTTTGAGTCTTGACACACCCAAGAGTGTGCTCGAATCCCTCAAACCAAGGCTTTGATACTAACTTGTAACAAACCAAAATTTCAAAAGAAAATTTTCATTTTTAATTAATCAAACACATTTTCATAAATCATGAAATCCCAACATAAATTTTTTCAAATCCACATTCATTGCATCTTTATTTAAAACTGTCAGAGTGTCCCATAAAATATCGGTGAGAGAGTGCACGCAACACCATCATGCCTTGACCTTGCCCTTGGGCTCAGAAGTACCTGAAACAAATCTACCAACTGTAAGCTAATGCTTAGTGAGTCCCCCAGAGCATACCCCACACACAAACCACATAACTCATATCATATTAGCTATAAAGCTACACATATCACATAAGCCATGCATACAACATATAAGGAAGCCATGGAAACCCTTCAATGTCTTACACTTAATGCGACGGGAACCCCTACGTGGTCTTATCTGCCATGGAAACCCCCACATGGTCTTCTTGCCTTGGTATCCCCCACAAGGTCTTCGTGCCTTGGGAACCCCCACAAGGTCTTTACTACTAAACAAGAAATGATGCAAACTATACAAGCAGATATACTAAGATGCCATGGAAACCCTCCAAGGTCTTATGCAAAATGCCATGGGAACCCCCATGTGGTCTTCCATGAAAATGTCATACTATCATACGCATAATCAATCAACAGTCCATATAACATAAAATGGGTCGGCCTTGGTGACTTAGACCCATTGGTATGGTGAGAAGACTCACCTCTCAAATGTTGAACTAACAAGCTAGAATCAGGTATGTCCCACACACTGCTCCTCCTTAATTTCCTATAACAATTAACTTGTCATAATCCCATAATTTCCCTCCAAGTCAACTCTGGTCAATCCTGTTCAACAACCAAGGTCAATAGTCCATGTTGACCTCGACTCGTCGGGTGCACCCATGAACTCGTCGAGTTCCTGTATGACTCATTAACTTGCTGAGTTACCTTTTCTAACTCGTCGAGTTCCTCCCGAGTCCATCTCGCTGAGTCCCGCCTCAACTCCCTGAGTCACCCTATTGACTCGTCGAGTTCATCATATGTCCAAAAAACTAAGATCTAAATGGACCAAAACCCTATTCCTTCACTACACTTATCCAGAAACCCAGAAACAGGCAAACCCTACCCCAACTTGTCGAGTCAGCTAAGGGACTCGACGAGTTCCTTCAGTCCTTAACAAGTTTATCCCTTTTTAGTGGGATCTATGGTCCCAAACTCCATATCCAAAATCCTTTAGTGCAGATACCAAATAAAGTTGCAAACTTTACGTGCATACAAGGCCTTACAAGGCCATAAACCCAAAACTAGGCTTCTTATAAGGTTTTTGTGCATGGAAAGGGCTAGGCTGCATAAAGTAAGGAACTTTATGCCATTAGAATCCTTGATGTAACACCCAAATGAAACATCAAGGCTAGGATCCAACATAATACTCTACAACCTAGAAGAGGGATGCCGTAATCTAGTTGCAGAATATTTGAAGGTAGGTAAATGACGATTTACCAATTTCCACCATGAAAAACGAAAAGGAAATTTAAGTTTTAAATGTATTGAAAACTCCTAGATCTTTTGAGATTATTTGAACTTTTCAATGGCATGTTTAAATCTTGATATGCCCCTCGACTTGTGACTAGGATGCCGAGGATTACAAAATAGAGTGTGAATAACCATGCAAATGTACATGGTGCCCCTAATATTACAGTCGCCTATTCGATGTGCCGGTTAACCACACACACTCCACCAAACTATGACAAACATCGAGTCACCCTTTGCCACCTTTGCTTAGAACTCAATTAGTGTGCCGGTTAACCACGCACGCTCCACTAATATCTTAGCAAGGGTACAAAGTGTAATTTCATGGAATTGCATCTATTCACTTTTGCCTAAAGTAACTATGATTTGGGAATTTGTAAAACATTTAGTTACTTTGTACTTCATTATACTTATAATGGAAGGTTTCTGTCCTATCCTACCCGTTCGACTAATGACCCTCCACTATTCAAGAGTGCGGTGGGTAAGAGTGGATACATATTCAATCACCATTTTATAGGTAATTTCCTAAAACACCCCTTATAGAGAGAGAGAGAGAGAGAAACGAAGTGGGTGATGGAGGCTGCTTCCTCCTTTTGGGTTTCACAAAAGAAAAACGAAGTGGGCGTTTATGGAGAGAGAGAGAGAGAGAGTTTTGTCTTTTCTTTTAAATTCTTTTTTATTTTTTATATCAGTCAAATATTTTAATAAATAAATAAAATTGAAAAAGTAAAAAGTAAGGGTAAAATCGTCATTATAAAAAAGTTCAAAACAAATTGGATCAAACTTGTAACAAAATAAAAAGTTTGGACCTCTATACTTATCTAAACTTTTTTGGACAAAAATGGTAATTTTTAGCTAACTACAGGATCATTTGTACAACTTTGTCTAAAATAGGATTAATGTGTAGGATATATGCATATGATTTATTTTTTTATTTTTTTAATTGCATTAGACCAACCTTTTAGTTTATTAGTTCAACAAAAACATAGAATTAATAAACTTGTCGTAAACACACGGGTTATCATCACTTGTTGATACTTGATAACATGTAGGGCAAACTATTAATTACTTATTTGTTTATAACTACAAACCGTCAAATAATGTTTTTTTTTTTTTTTTTTTTTTTTGTACTGCTAATATATGTGAATATTACAAAGTCTAGGTCCATAGCTGAATTTGATATTGTTTTCATGATACCACATAATTGTTTTGATGATACCACTTAATTAGTTAATTGTTGCATTCCGTGTTATGCATTTTAGTAAAATTAATAGTTAGGTTAATGTTATAAATGGGTATAAACTATTTTTCACAAAATATCATTATTTAAAAAAAAAACCCAAAGGTAAACAAGTGTAACTTTGTACTCACAAAATATCACAATTTTAATGATTTTAAATGTTATTTTGTAAAATAAAAAACAAATAGTTCAACATCTATTTATATATTTTTAATTAAATGATATTTCGTAAAAAAAAAATTAACAGTTACAAATTATCGTATATGTAGAATAATTTTGATGTTTTTAGTATAATGATTCCTAGATATGGATTAAAACCAGTGTTAAATATACACTTGATATTAATTTTGTATTTTTCACAAGGATAAAATACAAAAAATACAACCTATTATATATTTATAGATGAAGAAACTTATATAGTTTTTTTATTGTATAGAAAAAAAACGTACATTTATCTAGTTAATCTAAATTTCTAGCAAAAACCTATGAATCAATTTCATTGAAATTATATGACAATTAAATATGATGTGATTATAAGAGGTTAAACGTTTATATCAATCTATCATGTACAACTTGAAGGACATTAAGACTATAATGAGTAAGTTACAATGTTCTCACTCAAAATATATGTCACATCACAACACATCATCTTTACAATTTTCTTATTAATCATTATTGATATTAAGAAATACTCTCCACTTACACTAGTTTTTTTTAGATCAAAAGTTTTTTTTTATCCCAACAACACACAATAGAAGATCAAAACTTCTTTCTCTTCGGACTTCACAATATCACAATATAGGGAAGATGTTCCCCCAAATCACTAGTGACTTGCCTTTGCCAGTCACCTTACTTGTCAAAGTCTATACCATTTTGTATAGCCTAACTTGAATAAAATTAATTAATATGTTTTTACTTGATATTTGGATAAAATCAATATGTAAAAATTAATTTTCTTCACTAAATAAAAAATACCTGTATTTTCAAATATTGTTGCATAATAGAGACTGTATTTTACTTTTACCACGAAGAATAAAAGGTTTACGCCCGACAAAATAAGGATAATAATTACATTTTGTTTATTTCAGTTATTTTGACAAAGTGATTAAACCTTAGGGGGCATATTGTTTTTCACCAAAGTACATGTCCAAAAAGAAAAGTTTAACGATGAAAAAAAATTATAAATTGATTTTCATTTAATTCATCTCTACCCTCACCAGTTTCACTCAATTGACTCAACGCTTCTCTCATCTCTTTCTCAGGCGTACACGGACCGCCGGAGACTGAATAAACGGCGACTACCGGAATCAATCTAGCAAACGGGACTTCTTAATTCAAGGTATCAGTTTTCATTTCAGCCTCTCTCTACACCGTCAATCATATACTTTTGTTTTTGTTGTTATATCAAATCAATAATCAAGAGATTCGATCTTTCGGTTTCTTGGTTTCTTTTTCACCATTCCGGTGTTAAGATCTTCGATTACGCAACAATTGAAATGGGTTTCTTTAATTTTCTTTACCGTTGAGTTTGAATTTCTTAGTATGATTCTCGATTGCCTTTCGGAGGCAAATCACAAATGTAGAAATAAGAAAATGTACAGTCAATTTCCGGTCATATCTACTGTTATCCCACACAAATATGGCACTGAGATAATTCATACTCCATATTGAATCCGATGTCAATCTTTTCACGATAATCGGATGTATAGACGCCAAATTCAATATTTCAATGTTCGATTTCAGTATTTTCTACCAAATTCCATAGTTTACTCTAAACACAATGATTTATAACTTTTGAACATTATTTATCCAGACAATGGCATACACTGGAGGTGTACCCAGAAACGATCCAATGCAAGTGAGTACTGCTCCAAGAAAACCCCGAATTCTTCTTGCAGCATGTGGAAGTGTAGCTGCCATTAAATTCGGCCATCTCTGCAGCTGTTTCTCAGATTGGGCAGATGTAAAAGCTGTTGTAACACAAACGTCTTTGACATTCGTCGATCTTGCATCAATTCCCAAAAACGTAATGCTTTACGCTGATGAACATGAATGGTCCGCATGGTCCAAAATAGGAGACAGCGTCCTTCACATAGAGCTTCGTAGGTGGGCTGATATAATGGTAATCGCCCCATTGTCAGCAAATACACTCGCCAAGGTAAATTAAACCCTAATTTCCTTTTCTTTTGAAATTGAAATTGTTCGATCGCCCTTTTAATCTTGTTGTTGTGATCCACAATTTAGATTGCTGGTGGACTGTGTGACAATTTGTTGACTAGTATTGTTCGAGCATGGGATTATGAGAAACCGATTTTTGTTGCGCCATCGATGAATTCGTATATGTGGAGGAATTCGTTTACAGAAAAGCATATCATGGCGATTGATGAATTTGGAATCAATCTTATACCACCTGCATCGCATGGGGAATCTGGAACTGGTGCAATGGCTGAACCCTCGTTCATCTTGTCAACTGTACGAATGTTCTTGGAATCACGAAGGAAAGCAAGTACCAGTAGTAGTAGAACATAATGAATTTTTTCTCCTTTTTTCTTGATATTACCCTTTTTATGAACCTGGGTAATGTTTGCTGGAAGATTTGATTTGATTTTTTTTTCAAAGATGTAGATTTGATTTGATCATTGGTATTGGAATAATTGTAAAGTGACTATACAAAGATGAAAATTTGGGTTCCAAATTGACGTACCTGTTGTTACACTCTTTTAATATCGTTATTTTAAAATAAAGGTGAATTTGAACCGGTTAAACTGGGCCAAACATAATAACCCGGACAAAGCCTATCGAATGTGGTTTGGAAAACAGACAGTCCGGACCGGTCCATATGACTATATGAGGGTTAGTCCAAAAAAGTCTAGTATTGATAGGTCCTATAAAAAATCAGGGTCCAAACGATTTGATTTTTATATGTATTATATTACAGTATTTTATTATAGTACATACGTAAAGCCAAAGTTATGTACTCTTATAGAATTTGAAAGTTGAGAGTTTCAATTTTTATATGGAGAGTTGATAGGCATTTCTTAAACAAACATTTATTCTTTGCAATCTTGCATTTTAAAAGCTAGGAAAGTATAGACAGAATTGCAAGAATGATCCCTTAGGTTTGTCAAAACTAGCAACTTTGATTCAAAATGGGTTTGACTCGTAAGGATGGTCTAATAGTTTTGTTTTGTTGTGAGTTTAGTCAAATTTCTTATGAATTTTTTTATAATGACAAATTTGCCCCTTATTATTTTATTTTCCATTTTTCTTTTATTAAAACAATTAAAAACAATTAAAAATAAAACAAAAATAAAATCTCTCTCTCTCTCTCTCTCTCTCTCTCTCTCTCTCTCTCTCTCTCTCTCTCTCTCTCTCTCTCTCTCTCTCTCTCTCTCTCTCAGGAACTAGATAATATTGACCAAAATCAAACTCCCAAAATCACCACCACCAATCTCTCCTCCTCCCTAACATCACTATTACCGTCTCCTTCTAATCGAATCCATCCCAACTTAATCACCACCGCCCCTGATTTCTCTTCCTCCCACAAACCAAGAAGGTTCCAAATACAGATCTTGAAAACAAAGATATGAAGGTTTTTGTAAAATAAAGATTGTTGATTACGGTCATCTGAGAACCAGATGTGAGAACTAAAGAGAAGAAAATGAGTAAAGAAATCGACTTTCTTTAATTTCTACAACAAAGTGAAATCCTCCCCTCTTTGTTGACCTTTCTTCTTCTTTGTCTTCACAAATCCATCTGTAGTTGCGTGTACAAGTATCACTTGTAAATAAGAGATTCTCATCTCCTATTTGGCGCCTGGAAGGAATCGATTTATGAAGTTGTTTCATCTTCTACTTTGCTTAAATAGACTTCAGAGTTCCGATTCTCGATGAGAAACGTTTCTTCCATGGGACCATGAGATTTTTGGGAAAAGAAAACTAAAAGGCTAGAATCGGTAAACAAGAACGAAGAAAACCCATTATAGATTTGGATTTGGAATGTTAGATGGTGGGGTCACGACAGGGGGAGGCGGAGGAGCTGCCACAGACGACTGTGGTGGCTTTCTTCACCGGAGAAGTAAGAAACAAGGGGGACCATTAAGAAGATGTGGGTGACTGGTGATGTTTTGGATCATGTCACTGGAAGCAGGGGCTTGGATGCGTAGGTTGGAGGAGGTGGTTGGTTGCGATGTTATGACTCCGGCGGTGGGGATGAAAATTGTTATTGGAATTTTGTTCCGATCGATTTGTAGGTTTCAAAAGAAGAGAGATAAGGGGAAATGGGGAGACCATTTTACATACTTGTATATATTGGAATCGATTTTAGGCCATGAAATTGTTGTCTGAATCTGTATAATGGTGGGTCTCGATTTACTCGATTTATTTGAAGATAGATTTGCAGGTGGGTCTCAGTTTATCTCTATTCTTTGTTACCAGATTAGCCAAACAAGGAGACCCCCAAAATACAAGGTTCTTTCATCTGGTTTTGAATGTTTTATGTACTTAAAAATTGCTGAACATTCATAGATAGATAGGTGTTTTTGAGTTTTGAATTAGATATTGGTTATAAATGCTAAATATTTGATGATTTCGATCGAATCAACTTTTCTTTTGCAAGAATTTGAAACAACAAACAAAAACGATTTTTGATTTTTGATTCTTTTATAGTGGTGACATCCGGTGGTGGTGAGGGTAGTGGCGGCGATGGGTGGTGATGGTAGTTGTAGGTGGTGGTTAAAGAAGGAAGTGGTGGACAGTTCCAATATATATATATATATATATATATATATATATATATATATATATATATATATATATATATATATATATATATATATATATATATATATATATATAGAGAGAGAGAGAGAGAGAGAGAGATCTATTTTCTTTTTTGTTTTTCTTTTTTTATTTAAGTAAAAAAAAATGAAAAATGGGAAATACCAAGGGCAAATCTGTCATTTTAAAAAGTTTCAAATTTTTTGGACCAAACTTGCAAGAAAATCAAACTTTTGCACCATCCTTGCGAGCCAAACCCGTTTGGGATCAAACATGCTAGTTTTGACATACTACAGGGGTCATTCTTGCAAATTTGTCAAAGTATATAGCTGCGCATTAAAGAAGCAATAAAATTTGTTGAATAGATAGATCAATCTTCAACGCTTTTAGTTAATTAATGATTTGGACTTATTTATTGATTATATCAAATTGAATTGGTTTTTCTTTCCCCCACAGACGTGAACCCAAACAAAATCACGCGAGCCTATTCCATATAAAAATTTAATACTATTAAATGCTTAGATAACAAATATTCAAGAATAGTAGATAAAACAGAGACACACGAAGATAAGCAAACTTGCACCATAACTCTTTACTTTATATTATATTATATAGTAAAAGTACCAACTTTAATAACAACACCAGCCTTTAAAGAAAGCCAACTCTCTCTCTCTCTCTCTCTCTCTCTCTCTCTCTCTCTCTCTCTCTCTCTCTCTCTCTCTCTCTCTCTCTCTCTCTCTCTCTCTCTCTCTCTCTAACCATATATATATATATATATAAAGGGGTATATTCCTATTTCCTCCAATAGAAACTAGAGTTTCTTTATTCTATAACCTAACATTTAACTTTAAAAAAAAAAAAACAACCACCCCTTTTTGTTTATAAAACTTATTACCTTTCTTTTTCTTAAACTTATTTTTTTTTGACCACCGAATGTCCAGTCTTACGCTTGTGACGGCTGAAATCCGACACAAACCTAAATCTCTTTCCACATCCTTCTTGTTTACACAGATACGGGCGGGCTTTGGTATGGATCCTTATATGTTCGGTCCTGGACCACTTCCATTTGAAGGTCTTGTCACACCCAGGCCACGGGCATTCGATTGGCCGGTCAGCCAGATGCACACGTCCGTGCTGCAACAAGTATTTGTGTGAAAAGAATATCTTCCCACACCCCTCTACAAGACACATGTTATTTTTATGAGCCATAGCCTCTTCCTTACTCCCAAACCTCATCTTACACCCTACAACATCACACCCAAATTCCCCCTCTTCCTCTTCTTCATCTTCAGACTCACCACCTTTCTTTGCTTTCTTCTGCTGCCTTTTTGTGAACCTTCTTCTTCTTATTCTTCTTCTTCTTATTATTATTATTTCGGTTCTCGTTGGCCTATAATCGTCATCTGAATCCGAATCGAAATCCGAATCCGAGTCGGATTCTGTTGGTTTTTTGTTAAGATTCGGGATTGTTGCCTTTCGGAGGCTTCTCCTACGTGGCCGCCTCACACCACCAATCAGCAACGGTGGAGACGGCGATGCTGCTGGTGGTGGTCGTGATGGTGACGAATCCACTATAACACCCTTCATCTTTCTCTTCCTGCTGTTTTCAATTTCAGGTTTCTCTTCCACCATTGGCAAAACCGAACGACTGGTTTCATCGTGTTGTTCGAGATCTCTAACGACTAGCAATGGATGAACCTGATTGGACATCCAAACTTTCCCGCACCATTTTCCCGCAACCACGAGCTTCTTTTGATTGTCGGATGGTTTTGATGTTGTTGATTCAGTTGACGGAGGAGGAATACGTCCGATTGCGTTATGGATAACCGAGTTGTATGGCATCTGTTTGGCATAAATCGGGGATTGACTGAGTCTAACACTGTAGAAAATGTCGAGCCCTAACCTGACCACCCAATCCTGGTTACCATGTTCTGTTTCATCGTTATCGAGAGCCAATCGTATCTTCGCCTTATCGTATTCGTTAATATCTCGATATCCGAGATCTGTCCAGTTTTCATAGGTTCCTAATTCTGTCGCCATCGATCTTGCTTCTTCGTCTATTGTTGGATAATCTGAAAACGAAAAGAAACCCGTTAATAAATTCTGCAAATCGTTAAAACCATTCTTTTTTTTTTTTTTTGATTATCGGATACCTGGATGACAGAAGAGCAGCATATGGACTCCCCCTACTGGCTGAAGAATCTTTTCGACTTCACGAGCATGATGTAGGCAGAAAACGTGAGTTCTGAAACAGTTTTCAGGTTTTGTGTAGATATGAGGCTCTTCTATATATTCAGATCGACTCATTGAACCATCCGATTCTGTGAAATATTTGCTCGATTTAGATCTATCAGAATCATATCTTTCCTCGAAATCAGAGCAATCTCCATAAGCTATTGCCACATCAGCTTCCTGTGGTTTTGTAATGGATGTGGTACCAGAGCCATCATCTTCAGATTTGTTCGGAACATCAACCAGACGATCACAATCGCCCTTCAACACTTCCCGTTCTTCCATAAACAAATAAAAAAAATAACTCAGAAATCATAAAAGTTTATATTGAACAATTAGAGTTTAACTCATCATACCTGACGAGGATCCGAGATCAACCACATTTGTGTAATTAGCAGCAACAAGAACATCAACACCTTGAGTTGCCATGAGGTAACCTGCAGCTTCCTTTGATGGCTGAACGATTGCAAAACAAGAATAACACAAAATCCCACATGTAACACAAGAGAATACACTTGCAGGATCGGGTTTATGAATACCGTTTTTCCCAATCACCATTTTCTTCTTTTTTGGTGAATCAAAGCTATCAAATGAAGATCTTCTTCTTGAAGACACTGTTTCATCATTCTGAATGCATAAACCAAGGGACAAATCAGTACTTGAATTCGATGGAATCCAACTGTCTAATGCTTCTTCAGAAAGAA